GGTTATATCTTTATGTTAAATGGTAGTGCTATCTCCTGGAAGAGTGCTAAGCAAACAATAGTGTTTACTTCAACGATGGAGGCTGAATTTGTTGCATGTTTTAAAGGGATGAAACAAGCAGTATGGTTAAGAAATTTTGTTGCTGAGATGAAAATTGTTGACTCGGTTAAAAGGCCTTTAAAGATGTTCTGTGACAATAATGCTGCTGTGTTTTTCTCCAAGAACAATAAGAGAACTTCGGCTTTAAGACTAATGGATGTGAAGTTTCTTAAAGTTAGAGAAATGGTGAAGAAAGGAGAGATAGAAATTCTACATTTATCTACAGAGAAGATGATTGCAGATCCTCTTACTAATGCTTTGCCAAACAATGTGTTTAAAGCACATGTTACTAGAATGGGAATTTTAGAAGCTTTTGACAAGTGGGAGTAATTGTGACCAGATTTGAGATGGCTTTGGAACTGCAGTGTTGCTTATGTTACTGCGGTAGGAGATTTCCTGAATTAAGTTAGTATTTCAGTTTGTTTTGGTTTTGATTTATCTGAATTCAATTTTTCCGTATTGTGATTGATTGATTCAGATAGTTAGCATTGCAATAAAATAGTTTGAGTTTGCTAGTAAATCAGTTTGTGATTTTACTGAAGTATACTTTGGAACTATTTAGTAAATTGTTATGTTATGGATGGTTCTTGTCATTTAAGCTGAAATTTTAACTATGATTGAGTTGAAATTGGTTTGAATGAGTGGGAGTAATGAATATTGACATTACTGAGATTGTTTTCGTATAACTACAAAATGTAAAATTGGATATGTTGTGATTCTTGGATAAAGTCTGAGTTTGTACAGATAGAGTCCTGGAGTTCCATATTTTGATATGCATAGGTAATGTTGTATGCGAGGTTAGGTGCTTTATTCTGGACTTAGTGATCACTTCCATGATTCATTTAGTTAATCATTTTGTCTTTATACTCAAGTGGGAGAATGTTAGAATATGAGTATAAAAACATGATTGTGGATTAGCTATTATATTGGATGAATTTTGAATGGAAAAGTCTTGATAAAGTATTTGTGTAAATCCTATTTATTGTAGGATTATGAGTGTTTTTAGTGTTCCTTTGGGAAAAGGTTTTGGATCCTTCTCGGATTGATCTTGTACACTCATTGTGTAAAATGGTTTTTGTTTTAGAGTCCAACAATAATTCTAATAGGAGAATGTGTTGGATTAATGCTGTATATAACCACAATCACTGCTTTTGCAAAGATACGGCTCATCTTGTATTGAATACCTATTGTTCAAAGAGCTCTCTAGTTTTGCTAAAGAGGAGAAGATTGTCTGGTGATGAAGCTGCTATGGCTTCTTCAAGTTCAAGTTCTGCAAGTATGTTTTGATTGGTTTTATGCTAAGGTTTATGGTTATGTTGTTCACATTGTTTGTTGGTAATATTGGTGATTTATTGGCATATCTATGATCCATGACAAGGTTCCAACATCCCACACACACAAGTTGGTATTGCTGATATTCCACCCACTTTAGCCACCTGGAAGCAACGGGTATGGGTTTTACCACAAGACCTCGACAATATGTGTGTGTGGTGGCATTGCTTACAAAGCACTACACGACTCTTCCCCTAGCCAATGTCGGACTCAAATGTGGCTCTAATCTAAGCCACCAAACTCCAACACTAATTTCATCGCTCCATTCACAACAAACTTCTTCAGGAATGTCCCTGAGTGGGTACTTGCTCTGGTCTAGACCATTTTAGCAACTCTGCATGCTGATTTTTCTCCTTCCCCAAGTTACAGAAAAGCGTACAGTCCCCGCATGATCTAATCACACTAGCATTTCGAACCCTATGTCCCAAATTATAGAAAAGACAAGTTTTGGGCAAACCTCTCATTCAAAATTCCGTTAATCAATAAAGATAAATTCCACACCTGGTGAGTAGGAATGGGCAACGGTTATGGCGGACGGATAATCGTGATTATTTACCCATAACCGTTTATGCTCATACCCGCATAATCGTTTACCCATTGGGTAATTGCCTAAATGGTTATACCCATACCCATAACCGTTTATAAATGGTTAACTATACCCATAACCGCATATCCATTTAACCGTAACCGTTTAATACCCGTTTACCCATTTATCCTTTTTAACCCCGTTTATCTTTTTTTTTTTTACCATTACCCATTTTTCACCCGTCTACATGTTTTTTAACAACTTGAAAATAAAAAAAAAAATTGTCATAATTTTTTTTTGACAATTAAACACCGTTATAGGTGCATTCATCATACATTTCCATATTTTAATTTTTTAAGTCCTTTTACCATTCCAATAATTGAAATAATAGTTTACGGATGATATTTTTAACTATTACCAATGAAGGTAAATATAATATTTGCTAAGTATTATTGGGTTACAAAGATTGTTTATAAGACATTTATGTCAAAGCATTTCTGTCAATTTCACAGTTATCCGCAAGAAATTTAAATTAATTTGGCCAATTCCTTGATAATGAGAATCATCATTCCTGTAGCAGTATTATTGAGAGAATGACCGATGAATTCCTTACTAATTTATTGGGTGCTAAGTATTATTGGATCGAGAACATGGTTTGTGTTAGTTTTACATATATAAAATAAATAAATGGGCAAACGGTTACCCGTTTATAACCTCGGTTAATACTCATAACCACCCATTTAAATTTTGCAGGTAAACGGTTATACCCATAACCGTTTATTTATCTAAACGGTTACTCATAACCGTAACTGTTTAATTTAAATGGACCGGTAACCGCGGTTACCCATAACCAATGGGTATGTGCCCATTGAAGGAATTATTTTGAAAAACATGTTCATTTGAGCAACATCATATAGCATGCAATTAACAATTAAAGGCGGAATCATGCTTGTATGCACTCAAAAACAAAACATTACCATGAAATTCAAAGCCTAGTAGATTGGTGAACCAATTAATCAACTCAAAACAAAGTGAGTTGAAATTAATACCTTTGTAGATTCCTCTTTGCATAAGCAAAGGCTAATCACCCAAAGAGATAGGGTCTTCATTCCTTGCTTCTTAGATCCATGGATTTGGATGGAAGAATAGGTTCTCCAAGTTCCCAAAATTGAGAACCTCTAAGTCTCTTCACCAAGGTTAGATTGTAGAAGAAATGAGTGACCTTGGAGTAGTAGGATTGCTAGATGTACCCTCCAAGGTGTTGGCCTCTTTAGAGAGAAAATGGAGAGACAATTCTCACCAATTTTCCCCAAAAATAAACCCTTTTAATCCTTAATGAATATTTGGCTATAAAGTCATTTATATAGTCACTTCTTTAAGTGACCTAAATAACCAAAACCCTAATTCATCACCATATGGCCGGCCACCTAAGGAATTTTGGGCTTTTGGGCTTTAATGAATCTTTATTCATTAAATTGTCATACAACTTAAGTTAATGGGCTTGACGTTCGAAACCCATTGGACCTTAAGGTCCAAAACTATCCCCGAGGTCTTTAACGAACTTATTCGTTTGATTAATTAACATATTAATTAATCTTTGCCATAAATAAATGATTAAACCATTTAATCATTCTTACTCATTTCCGTTTAATCTCCAATCTCTACCTTTTATGGTGTGCGATCCATTAGGTTCCTTTTAGCGAGGTAGTGGGCGATTAAAACCATTTTACATCGATTGTGAATTGAAACTATTTTCAATTCTCCCTTTAGTGATTACACACGTTTAGAGCTTCCACAAACCATGGTTGACGCCTAGCAGCATGTCATGGTTACCCAAGCTAATCAGAAGAGGTTAGAGAACCTATTCAGTTCGGGATTACAAATGCAATACGGTCTTTCTCTAATCTAATACTCTTGACCACATTGTTTGGTTTGATAGTTTATTTGTTCATGTCTACTATCCAATGTGAATCTTGTGCTTATATGATTTACTTGAATGTGATTTGGAACGCATTCCCTAATCTCATTCATACTCTGGCCAGAGATTCTAAATCATATCATAGAGTATTCTCCCTCAACTGTTTGAAGGTTAGAGATCCCTTGTTGCGCATTCACTTGTCTCCATAGCTAAGTCACTTGACCCCAACGATGCCGTGGACACCCCGAGGGGGTGACTTTGACATAATCAAAGATCAAAGACTTAACCACAAAACAACTGTGATGCCTCAGGTCAAAGGACTACTTTGCATTATCCCAACCATGAGTTCTTATGTGACATGGAATATGAGAACTCTTCGTTGATCACGTTCAGTGTACTCATTCTCTATTGAGCACCTACGTACTTGTCTTGATGTCACACACACCAATGACTCGAGACTAATCACTCTCCCTGAGAGAAGACATAGTACGTACCGATCTTAACGGACTGTCAATGCCCAATTGACAATCCTATGATCAGGAACATTTAGGATGTGTCTACGAAAGAATGGTCTCATGAATCTAACTTCATTAGATTACATTCTCCCAATCACATATTCCTTGGACTTTATCGTTTAAGCATATAACATTTATATGAGACGGCTCAAACAATAATCTTTGCCCTTTATATGTAAAACTAGATTAGTTTAACATGTGAAATGTCCGTAAAGTATCATCACATGATTGGCTTTAGGGCACATTTCCAACACCCATCCCTACTGGTAAGGTATAAGAAAATGTAATATGCATCTATACACCAGAACATGAGGCAGCACCAAGTATCCCTATCTCGATCACACTTTTAGTTCATTCGAAAACAACTGTTACCCACTAAACCGAACTCAATTAACATCCAATCAAACAGATCCAATAATGATGCTCACAATGCAGAACAAAAAAGCTTCAACTTGGAGCATCGTAGAGATATTTAATGCTAACACTAACCTTAGATTAGCATGAATAATCTCAATCTAATTGGAACCAATTGTCACTAGCTGAACATAACTAACAATGTTACTTCAAGCCCAAGCTCAAACACAAAAACTAAAGAAAATGGAAAAACTACTTGACTATAACATTCCGATCAAGCATGAAAACAGCAAGTCCACCGCAATCATCGTCATCTTCGATGACAACAATTTTTCCCAGTCTCACCCTCTCCCCTGCTTCCCACATATCCCCAACCTCTCTCCACCTACAACTACCATTCTCATTCTTCAATTCCATCACCACAGCGTCTCCTCATCCACAGGAAAAACCCCTGATATTGTTCTGGACTCGCCGTACCCACCCATAACCCAGAACTCCTTCTTTTCACCGTCGCCAACAAAAAACCCCGCGCACCCGGTTGAGAACTTGGCAACCCATCCATTGCACCCCATTCATTTCTCCCAATATCATACCACTCCACTGAGCTCGTTCGGCTTCCAGCCGCGCTGAATAGAGTGTACGAGGATCCGCCACCGGCGACGAGAATCTCTCCCGATTTTGGAACCGTAGTGCAGGCGAAACTTCCGCGCAGTGTGAGCATCGGGGCAAAGGAAGTCCCACGAGGAAAAGCTGAAGTTGATCGGAAACGAACGAGTGTCGAAGAGGGAGCCATATATGACGTAGAGGTAGGGGCCAATGGAGAGGGAGCCATATTTCCAAATAAGAAGTCTTTCACTGATTAACACGAACATGTTCAATGCCAATTTCCTCCCTTGTGTGGAAAAGCGTCCATGGAATATTATTGATTAATAACTTTTGAGTATTTCTTCATGTTCACTCTTTAGCCCAGAATGGAGAAGGGAAGAAAAAGAGAATAAAAAGTAGTGGCATAGAAAGGGAATGCAACATCGAAAGAGTAAGCATAAAACAGCCTCCAAATCTTATACATACTCATATTACATATCTTACTGTTTGTTTACTCCCTTTCTCTCTGAAGCTATATTCCTTTTATGGTTTGAAAAGCTTTTTTGTCCTTTTCTTTCGTTCTTTGTCCTTTTTCTTTCGTTCTTTGTAGTTTGTAGGATTAGCCTATTTGGGTCTTCCTTTGTTTTCGGGAAAGAAAATAAGCCTACACCAAAACTAGTATAAATATAGGCTTATACTATTCTCAAGTTCTCAACATACCTCTCTTTAATTTTCCTTGAGTACATAGCCATCTTCAATTGGCCTTGTGTTTGTTTGTTGTGAACTAGTGTACACTTTTAATGATCAAAATGTCTGAAGTAGGTTTAACAACCCCAACAACTAAAGAAAGCATATTAATGCAACCGGAAGATGTGCCATGCCCGCCAGCACCAAAAAAGTACCGACCTTCCAATAATGGAGTTGATCCTGAGAAAGCCCCAAAACGTGATTTGAATAAAATTTTCAATGAAGTGCGCAAATTGAGTTGAAATAATATTAGGGCTATCAAGAGAAGGATGGTGTTTCAAGTCGAGGTTATTTATAACTTAGGAGTTTCATTCGTTATGTTACTTTTATGAAATAATATTTCTTTTTGGTTGCTTATTATGGGTATGCATGTAAGAGGAACTGATAACAGTTTTGAATAAAGATTTACTTGCTCTTTTATATGATGGGTTTGACATATCTATACATGTAAGAGAAATTCTAGAGTTGATTAAAATTATTTTTGCATATTATATATGTTGGAATTCAATTATTTGTCGTGCTAATGTTTGGTACCATGTCATGGAACTGCCTGGCGCCTCTTACTTACCGATATCTAATTTATAGAGACCAATTTGGTAATTGTGTTCTTTTGCATGCAAACAACTGAAAGAACTCCTTGAACAAAATTTTCTGATATTCCAAGGTTTGTTTACCCTGCGTCATGTAATATTAGTTAACCTTTTTTAGAAAAAAAAATTAGAGGACAGTTTGAAACTACTACAATAATTTAAGGAAGGAAAAAGTTTCAAAATCGATTAAGATGTGTGGGTGAATAGTCAACACTCTATCCACTAAGATATTATATTACATGTATATAGTATTAGTTAACTAGACATGACACAAAACATAGTAATTGAAAGTTGAAAGTCTACAATGTAACTTGAAGAAAAAAAAAAAATTCCGCACAAACTTTGAGTATTTGCTCAATTATATTACTATCTACTAAAACTCAGTTCCGTTCCACTGTTCATCATGTGAGAGGAGTTATTGTTCACCAGCAGTGAACACTCCAAGATGCCTTTCCATTTCTTCCTTATAGGGCCTTTTTTCCTAATTTGTTGCAGAAAAATGACCTTCTTCCCCTTGGAAGTCTTGCGTATTGGGTTTCGGCTGTTGGGTGCTTTCCCTTTTTTTAGGGGTAGGCATAAAAACCGTCAAACAGGAAAATCAAATTGAACCGTGAGAAAAAAAATCGTAAAAAACTGTGTTGGCAAAAAAAAAGTCAAAACTGGAACAAAAACTGAACCGAACCATTTCAAACGATTTTAGTTTCGGTTTGGAAATATTAAGAACCAGAGGAACCGGACCAAATCGATTTTAATATAAATTATTGTCTCATTATTATTTTTAAATAAATAAGACATTTTTCTAAGAAAACCATGTGCATGAGCCCAATATTTTTCATCACTTCTCTCACCATCCCTTGTTGTTTTATCATTTTTCTCCCCCTACATTATTTTTCTCCACCATTTTCTAGTATATATTATGCAATAAGTACATTTTAGTTTTAGTTTAAGATCTACACTTTGGTCTTGATATTAGTCTTTCTATCTTTTGATTTATATTTATAACTACACTTTCTATCTTTCGGTCACAAATCTTGTAAATCTAGTAGTGGAAACTCAAATTTACTTGAATTTGTGGTTGAAATATGAATTTGGTATTAGAAGTAGAAAATTAGAAAAAACATATACATAATTTTGGTTAGAACCGTAAGTTGGCATGAACTGAACCGTACGGTTTTAGTAATAAATTTAAGCAGAACTGCACCGAATCAAACCGTTAAATTTTTTTGATTCCGATTCCATTTTGAAGATAGAACCGGATCGAACCGGACCGTGCCCACCCCAACCTTTTTCCAGCCAAATGTTGTACACGTGTCGATCATCGCTTCAGCTTTTCTTTGGGTTGGTGGTCCTCCTCTTTTGTTGCTTTTTCGTTTTTGTCTTTTCCATTTCTCTTTTGCGGTCGTTTTCTGCCGCCCCTTCTTTTGTTTTAGAGCTGGTTTGATATTGCTGTTCTTTGAAAAAAAAGCTAATGTGAGAATAAACGGCTGTGCTGTGAGAATAAGCAGCTGTAAAATAAATCAACAGAGTGTTTGGTAAACTTTTTTGTAAAAGTGCTTTTAGAAAAAAAATCAGTCTGATAGTGGATCTTTTCATTAAAGGAGCACTATAACTCCGTGTGCTTTGAAAAAAAGCCAGTTTTCCAAAGGTGCAAATAGCAGTTTCAGCTTTTTCCTTTGATTGCAGCTTATTCTCACAGCAGCTTCCAAAATAAGCCATTTTTTTTTCAATTTACTAAACATTTAAAACCCTCACAACTTTTTTTCATAGGTGCTTTTTTTTAAGCGCCTCACTCCCAAACAACAGCTTAAGACTTATTCCTTACTTTGGTTTTAGACTATGTTTTCTTTCCATTTTCCGCCCTTTGGTCTCTCTGCAGTTGATGATTAAAGGGTTGTTTGTTGCTGAGAAACCATGGTTCGGTCGTGGTGGATCTTTGTATTTTTCGATTGTGGTTTTAGATGCGTGTATAGATTTTGTGTTTGAAGATTTTTTTTTCTCATTTTGAACAGGTTTTTTTGAAAGGTTTGTGGGTTTGGGTTTTGCTTTTAATTTCGAGGGATTTTGGTTTTTATTTTTTTTTTCCAAATTCTGTTTGCAGGGTTGGAAGACATCGGTGTTGAGGCTGAAAAATCTCACCGGAGGCCCAGAAACCTCTCGGTCAATTTTCTCGAACTCTCTCACCCAGCTCCTCCACTTCTTCCCATCAAACTTCAATTCGTCGGTCATACACCGAAACCGCGCAAGGTTTCGTCTATCTCAGTCAACTCTGACCAACCCCAACGTCAGGTAAGGTTTCTACGGTTTTAATCTGATACTCACTACAAAGAAGATTAATGGGTCGTGGAAAAAGATAATGGTGGATTTCACATCACAACAGATTTGCCCTGAATCTTTCTATATTTTTTTTTTTTTACATTGCTTATAAGTTAAATTGTTCCCTGGATTGCAGTTACTTTCCAGCATCCTGACAATACTGATATAGCATCGGATGTAAGGTTTTCCTCTTTCTTCTTTCTTTTTCCAAATTTATTGAATTTGTATTTCATTGTTTGGCCTATTACCCTCATATTACAATCAACTCTTCAATTGTTGGTGTTAGTTGTAGAAACATTAATAAAAATCATGCCAAGAACATGATCCATGGTAAAAAAAAAAAAAAAAAAAGGGGTCTACCAATTTTTGTTTGAAAATCATAAATTTTCTCTCAGAAATTCAAGAAATGAAGATTCTCTGTCTGTTTTTGTCTTTTGTGGAGACCCAATCTGAATTGTGTTTTCTTCAAGGTCGATCTCGGCCGAGGGTTTTAGACCTCTTTATTTTTCCAGATTTTCGGATTATTCCCTCAGAATTAGGGAATTAAATTGTTCCTATTATTCAGTAAAATCTAAAATGACATGCAGCTTTGATTTGGCCTCTGCATGTTTGTGGTATTTGAAATTATGGTTTGTTTTGGGGATTGGATATTGGGATTTAAGTTGAATTCGTATGGGTATTCTTTCAGAAATTTTTGTTGTTTCTGTGTTGGAATTAAAATAACTATGCATTCTGGGTTTTTACATTAGTGTCTCTGCTGTTGTTTTGGGTTTTTTTTTTAATTTTTAGTGATTTTTATGTGGTGTTTATATGTGCAATTGACAATCGCCTTGAGGATGGTCTCAAACGGTTTTTCATCAACTCATCTACTGAATCCACAAAACCGACTGCAGCTTCATTGACTGAATGAACTGGTGCCTATACTGCCTGCTTGGACTTTTTCTTCATGGATCTGGTGAGTGATGTCTTCAGCAAATCCTAAATTTTTCTTGGATGATCTGGGTGTACATGCGTGCGTGGAAATAAGAAATGTTAAATTTGAATGTATATTTGGTTGAAAGATTGATTTGTATTGAATTGGAATGATATATTGATTTGTTGTTAAGAATACAAGATAAAGCCTCTCTTATAGAGAAGCCGAGAAGGAGGCAAAGACGCAACAAGCAATCAGTCTTGCCTTCAATCACTCAAAATTTAAGGAGAGTAGCCGAAAGTAAAAGGAAAAATAAGGAAAAGAAAAGCGGGGTATGGTGGAGATGATGGTGTCCACGGAAAGCAAATAGTGATGAATATAATTCTTAATAATAAATGTATTTGGCTTCTTCTATATTTTGTCATTCTGATTTTGGGGATTTTGTTTATAGCTTCAAATTCTCCATTGTTGTGTTTAATTTTGTTTTGTTTTTGGCTTTAGGAAATTGTGGTTCTTCGGATTTGGGGGTTTTGTTTGCAGCCTTCAGAGCCCTGTGTATTTAAGGTGAGGGATAGCCTGTGAAACTCTAATACTAAATTTACTAACTTGGTTGCCATCGATATTTCCATTGCAGAATTGATCCATTTGAATTGTGCAAGTCGTTCCCAATTGCAGACATGCACTAAATTGATATGTCTGTAGTATGCATATATATATAAACCATACATAGAAAGTGTCAAAAAATTGAAATGGGTAGTCCACAATATCAGTCTTATTCTGATGTTCTGATCTTTCCATTTTTTTTTACCCATTTCTTGGGTAAATTCTCCCAGTTATATATGAAAATGAATACAAAGTGGCCCTTTTTCTGTGTGTCATGTTATGTAAAGTTTCTCTATATTTAGCTTTTTATATTTCAATACATACACTTCTCAAGGAACTGCAAAATTGGGAACAAATACCTTGACTAGGCATGTTCTTGACCTGGGTGAAGAAATAATTGCGACTTAGTACACCTATGTTCTTTAATATTGATACTTCTAAATCTATTGTATGCCTATGTTTACTCTTCATTTTAGTTATTCGCTTCAACATCATCAATATGGTTAAAAGTTACAATGCTATACGACGTTGATTTCATATGCAGGTTTCATTTGATGCCAGAGGGAATAGTAGAGTTCGGTTTGATGGAATTGGAGTTTAACAACTTAATGGTAGACGATTAATAGGTAAACATTTTAAATTCTACCAGGTGCATAGACTTGAATTGCAAGTTTATACTTCTGCTGTAATTTTATAATTGCACCACAAGGTACCGCTGTTATTTATAATTGCATCACAAGGTACCAACTTACAAGATAATTTATAATATCTTCGGTTTCAATTCATCTACTCCAATTTATACAACATTGTTGTGATTTCGGATTTGTACATGAATTGAAATTTAATTTTTCTGATTTCAGCTCTCATTGGGATCTTAACACTCCATCATTAAAATCCTTTTTGTGTGATATTCTCCTCCAGGCACTGTTGCAAATAAACAAGCCGTCAAGGTATCTCATTCAATTATATATATTGTACCCTTGTGTTTTGCACCAAAATTTTCTATTAGTTGAACCTGAAACTCAAGTTAACTGCTCAAATTTGTATCTAAATTGTTTAAACTATTGTTCTCGTGTTTTGGATCTTTACAAAAGGCTTTTACATAAGACTTGATCAAAGAGGCAGTGGCAAGTATATTTCAAAAGGCTATTAGTATTCATTCAATGATCAAGGCATATGACAATCATTGTATACTAAGTCACATGTTTCAGCTCCCTGGTTTGGTAAGGGAAAAATTTATATTCTCTTTACATTTAACTCGGTTTAAATTTAGGTGATTGTGTTTTCAAATGTTGCCTGCTCTTACTTACATATATGTCAAAATAACAATGAATTTTTTTTTTTTTGTGTCTTTTGTAAATTTGTAGTTATTAAAGAAGAAATTGCAATAGTGAAGAGGAACAAACCTAAAACAAGTGCTATTCTATCAAAAGACCTTATTTTCACAACATCGGGTACGATTGTTTAAATTTTCAATTCATTGAAGCTGGATTGAAACAATATTTCCTAATATTTTTTACATGTAAATAGTCCAATTTTTTTTTAAATGATATTAATCTTCTATGACACAATCTTTTATATATTTGAAACATAATTTTTCATACAACTTGTAATCTCGCAGCAAACCGTGGGTACTATTTTCTAGTAGGGTCTATAACAGGGTCCAATAATACATGGTTTAGGGTTTATGGTTATAACATGCATGCAGAAGTTTTGCAACTAAAGACCTTTTTTTTAAGACTGCGCTGCAGTATCACATTTCGGGTACAAAGATATCAAAACAAAACCTTGTGACTGTCGATCATCCAAATATTAAAAACTTAATTGGTATCAGCTGTTAGTTGTTGTCCTTGGAGATTATACGTTGTGATTGTCACATTGTTATGTCTTGTTATTAATTCACTTGTGTTAACGTGAGTGTATTTATTTATAAATATGATACCCTAGTGTATGATATATCAACTATGATGTCCACTCTATTATACACGTGTCACGTGTGACCATTAATGACATTAAAAAATTGCTTACTACTGCATCCTGAGCTTAATATGTTTCTATGAGAAATCTCCTAAACCCTGATACATAAATGAAGATATAAAGTAGTAATTAAAGAATAGTGTTCATAAAAAGAGGGAGTATTTAACCTAATTAAGGCGATCATTCTACACATCAAGCACGATATATTCCAGTCAAATGGGACTTTCAGTCGTATACCATGAAATTCAATTATTATTATTATTTTTTCTCAGAGTAATCCATGTCCTGTGAAAAGTTAGCACACATCCAATACTACAAACGTTCAAACTTTCAAGGTCGTAGTTAATGCTTCCCCGTCAAGCCTTACCTCTAATTAAGTTCTCGGTTTGCGAAGCAAGCAAATGAATTGATCAATTCTCAACTTTATCACTCGGTTAATTTAATTAATATTACCTTATTCCATATAATATTGCGAGATATTCCATGTATATATAGTTAAATACAATGTATAGTAACGATCCAAATGATATGGAATTTTCTGAGGTGATTTTACATATATATATATATATTTTGTGAAACCCAGTTTCTTCTTGTAATTGTATGACTCATTCAATATCTGACCTTTTGACACAATAGTCAAAACAAAGAATAGCTTCATAAAATATTATTGGAAAATTCAACTCATAATATAAGTTGGTCCATATATATAGAGAGCTCTATAGTCCTCTATAATTCATTCATTCGTTCTCCATCTCCTTGTTTGCATTGCATACAGAGAAAGAAAGAAAAAAGAAAAATTATTAATTGCCAAACAAGGAACAACATGAAGTTTTTGAATATGCTTTTGGTGGCCATGGCAGTGGTGTTTCTTGTGAACATGCACTCACTCGAGGCCTGTAGAGTTTTGCAGGGGAAAGATAAACTCATGATGATGAAGGAGGATGTTCTGCAGATTAGGGATACGGGTACTACTGTCAAATACAACTTCCCTATGAATTTGATTATCAAGCAAGTACTGCAGAAGGGCTCTGCCCCACCCGGTGGTTCAGATCCGACCAACCCTTGAAGTTGTAACAAATTAATAAGACTCAACAAAGGCGGGATTCTTGCATGTCATGGCCAGATGACGAGTACAATACTCACATGAAAAATGATGTCGATGAGTTTATCCTGCAAAGAGGGCCACATCGATCCACATATCAAATTTTAGCCATCAACCAAAGATTCTTTTTTTTTTTTTTGCATATAATATGCAATTAATTTTATATTCTTTCTAATGAATAATTAAGGAAAGAACAAACTGTTGGTTTCTCGTTTTAGCTTAATAAGTTGTGTAAGCTGTAAAAAAATTGTGTATTAGCTTATCAATGTATATGAGTTTGACAGAATATAATACAAATGACAGAAAAAATCTTTATTTGAAAATGTATTTTATTTTCACACATTTTTTGTATGTGATATGATGCAACTTATACTATATATGTTTGTAAACATTGTATTTTTTTAAGGGACAGAAAAAAAAATGATAAAAAAAATTTATTTTGGGAATTGTTATTAGCACTTCAAAAATCTCATTCTCAGGGCCTGCCCTGAGAAATTGGGGCCCTAGGCGAGCCTTCGAGTGGAGGCCCTAAAGTTCTTTGACACCCAACTCAATATACATTTATATGTATAAGAAAAAGTTTCGCTAGATACATGAAAAAGTTCATTTTCTACGTAAAAAATCATTGCAAAAATAAAAAAAAATCATTTATATGCAAACATTACTTAAATATTACATGTCTCACTTTTTTAGATGCAAATGTATTAATTAAGTTTACATAATCTAACTTTTCAACCAATTCTTTTTTCAATTGACAAAATAGCTAACACATTCAATCTTTCGTGTGACATAATTGATCGAAGATACGATTTGATCAACTTTGATTTTGAGAAACTTCTTTCTGTAGAGGCAACTGTAACTGGTATGGTTAACAAAATTCAACATCGAAACTTTGAATTATCTTGAACCAAAACTAGTTAGGAAGGAAAAGTAACCAACCTTGTTAAGTGCACCCATAATCCATTTATCTTCTTGAAGGAATTTAACCACTTTATTAAGTGCATCCAAAAGTTTGAATTTTATAACTGCAATATAAACACTTGACAAGTGAATACTCTGATTTCGCATAAACAATACGCATTAAAATAAACAAATCATAAACCCTAGAATTGAAAATCCTAATTATATTTACAAGCACATCACTCACAAATCACAAATTAAATTATAGAAAAAGAAGCAGAAGAGGAGAGAAGCATTGATCGGTACCTGACCTTTGGAAGTGGAGTGGGAAAGAACCAATTCGTAGGCGTGCTACCAGTATGTTGTGTGTTAAATTCCCCCAAAAAAGGTTGAATTGTTGCTGAAGTTTCACCCCACCCAAGACACTTTGTACGCCAAGTTTCAAGAAAATTATATGATTTTATATTTAAATATTTTATTAAATTCAAACTCTAAAAATATATTTATATATATTATATATGTACACACATATTTAAAAAGTAATTTTTTGGGGCCCTCCACCCAAAACGCTGCACGGCAAGTTCCAAAAAAATATTTATAATTTCATATTTAGATATTTTACTCAAACTGCAAAATTAAATATATAAATATATATAGAAAATTAAGATTGACACTTCAAAATTCTTATTCTACATTCCAGACTTTCTATATTTGGAAAGAAAAATGCACTTGTAAAGAGTGTTGGATGAGATTTTTGAAGTGTCAATAACATTTCCTTATATATATAATAATAATAATAATAAATTTGGGGGCCCTCACGAAGTGGGGGCCCTAGGCGGGCACCTACTCGGGCTACCCTCAGGATCAGCCCTGCTCATTCTACAATCCAAACTTTCTACATTTGGAAAGAAAAAAAATACACTTATGAGGAGTGTAGAATGAGATTTTTGGAGTGCTAATAACACTTCCCTTTATTTTCCTTTTCTATTTTCCTTTAATAGTGTGGTTTTATATATTATTGGGTTTTTCTTTTGTTGTACCCTCCGCGTTATCCGAGTTAACTTTCCCTCCCTTTCTTTCTAGGATGAAGCTATATTCCTTTTATGGTTTGAAAAGCTTTAAATGTGCTTAACCTAGTTTGGATTTCATTTGTTTTCAGGAAAGGAAACAAGCCTATGACAAACAGTATAAATCTAGGGCTTAGTATTCTCAACACATCAACGTATAATTTCCTTGAGTATACTTGGCTTTAGGCTTCTTCCATTGGCCTTGTGTTTGTTCATTGCAAAGTAGTGTACGCTTTAACTTATTTCAGTGATCAAGATGTCTGAAGTAAGTGCAACAACCCCAACAACTAAAAGAAGTAGATTAATGCGACCTGAAGATGTCCCATGCTTACCAGCACCGAAAAAGTACCAACCTCGTAATAATGGAGCTGATCCTAAGAAAGCTCCAAACAATGATTTGAATAAAAGGTTCAATGAAGAAGCAAATTGAGTAAAGAAGGAATATTAGGCTACCAAGAGAAGGATGGAGTTTGAGTTAATCGTAATGAGGAGTTGAGAGTTTAATTTGTTGTATTTTCTTTGTTTGGTTATCCTATTATTATGTCACTTTTTAAGACATAATTTTTCTGTTAAGGTAGTCACAAGGAGCTGACATTTATGAATAAAAATTTACTTGTTATTTTATGTTCTATTTCATATATCTATACATGATATAGAGTTAATTAAGATTTTTACATAATGTTGGAATTCAACACATACACAGCAGATGCTAGCCTTTTTCTCTGCTACAATCCCAGAAAATTCCCCAACTAGAATTATTGTGATCAAACTTTCCAATAAAAAGTACTGCACTTGGCAATTATTTTACAATATTTATGAACCAACACCGAAATAAATTTGAACTAGTTGTTCTAGTTTTGCCACGCACATAGAGCAAAGAAAAGCAAGTTATTCAAATGAAAGCAATACAAAACTAAAATTCTTGCATGATGATTAACTAAGCTTGGAGCTTAAACGTTTCTTGTAAAACTTCGGTTTTACCCTGCTTCAAAACATAGTTGAAAAAGAACTCTATGTATTGAAAGGGTTTATAGAGTTGTGGATTGCTTGTACTAATAAGAGCTCCAGCATGTTCTACAATGCAATCGTCTGAAGGCGCGATGAAAAATGCAGCAGATGTCCTGGAATGGCTTGAACTCGTCACTGCCCGATGTTAAGCACTTTTCAGCCTCCCATTATTGATAATCTACATCTCATGTCAATAAAAAAGAAAAGGGTTTTCATATGGCAATTAAGAAGGGTGACTACATTGCGACTCACTTAGATAGATAACTTTCACTTTGCATTTAATTTTTTTCAATAAATTGTAAGAGAATTGTTGAATATTTAAATGAGCACACACGATATGCTTGTTCCCCATGTTTTCATTATGTTCCAGTACTTCATAATACATATATCATTCTATTTTATAGTTTATGATGAAATTATATATATTTTAAGTATAAACAGACACTTATTTACACAAAATATAATGAATTTATTTAAATCCGCCTAGTCCGCCTAGACTCCGTATAGCCGCCTATGCGCTAGGCTTCAGCTCGCCTCTTGACTAGCGCCTAGTGTCTTTTAGAACCTTGAGCCTCACAACGATTGAAGGGGAAAACTGTAAAACCCCTCAGCAAATTTAGTTTGTAATTTTACATTTCCCCTAAAAGTATTTGAAGTTTTCAATTTAGTCCCCCACTTATTTACCCTATCTGGATCCTTTATCCAGATTTTCCTCCTCTCATTGGCTGCCACGTAGCAGCCCACTAACCCACTTACTTTTCTCTCTCTTTTTCCTCGATCTCTCTCTCGAATCTCTCACTCTCTCAGCTCTTTATCCCTCTCACTCACCCTCTTTCTCTCTCTCTCTCTCTTTCTTGCACTCCCATTTCCTGATCGACACCTATCGTCACACTTGAGTCATCCCGACGACGGCGCAGTACCACATTGCCCTCCTAGACTCCCCCTGGTCTCTGCAAGCTCCGGGACACCCAAAGGCACCCAAATCTCTCTGGGAAGCCTCATGCCTTTCGAACGAGATTCTGGCCACCCCGTCCATTCTTTGTTAGATCTTAAGTACAAAACCTCTTCCCTTCTATTATACCTTCATGTTCGTAAGTAGGTCGGAGGGTAGATTGACGTTTTGTTGTCGACCGAAACCGGGGAAGCTCCGACGTCCTCTGTGTCGAAATCAGGCCTTCGGGCCGTTGCATTTGAGCCCAAGCCTTAGGTAGCCCAAACCCAAACCCCTGCCTCTTAGGCTTACAGGCCATTTGAAACTCGGGCTTAGGCTCGTTTAAACCCAACCCAAACCCTTTTATTTTTATATATTTTACTTTATTTTATTAACCCAAAAACAATTGGGCCAGGCTTCAATGCCCAGCCCAATTGGAAACCCTAAACCCTTTCGGACCTAGGCCTTAGGGCCGTGTAGGCTTAGGCCTTCAGGCCTTTGCATCCAGCCCGTTGGAACCCAACCCACTAGACCCTTGGGCCGGGCTTTCCAACCCAAGCCCTTTGACCCAAAACCCTATGGACCCAGGCCCTTAGGCCTTAGAACCTAAGCCTAAGCCAGAGGCCCAAGCCCAAGAACCAGAACCAAGCCTAGACCTGGTTTGACTTGGGTTAACCAACCCGAACCCTTTGATTCTGACCCGGTCAACGGTCAGCGTTGACTTTGACTTTGACTGGTCAATGTTCAACATTGACTTTTTAACTTTTTTTTGGGTTTTCGTTCGGGACCTCCTAGGCTAATTGTGATGTCATGGACCCATTTTTACATCCGTTTTCCAAATTTAATCATTTGAATAGAGTTTGATTAATTGGACACTTTATGTGTTTAGGTGCGAATATTAGCGGCGATTCCGTCATTCCTATTTGTTACGGCTCTTCGATGGCAGAGTATCTGTGAGTGGACCCATTCTAAAATGCATGTTTTAATAATAGAAATGCATACATGAAAAGCATGATTTAATGACTACATTTTATGAGATATTATGCTTACTTAGAATATTTTGAATTACCATATTTTATCAAACTCATGTTCTTTGTAGTATAGATGATGGATGACTTTATACTGCTTATGAACATGCTTTTACACACTTCTTTATAGTATAGATGATGGATGACTTTATAATATGACGTTGATTTTGAGATATATATGTACCTATGTTTGGAAATATTATTTTAAGTGGTTTTGTGCTTATCTAGTGGTCACTTATATTGACCTTCAGGTTGGGTGCTGTAGGAACCTACGAGCGATTGATACTTATATTGACCTTCGGGTTGGGTGTTGTAGGAGCCTACGGGCGATTGATACTTATGAAGGAAGTTTCTGAAGGAAGAGTTCTATCTGCCTTTGGGTGATTCTG